GAGCCTCCTTTTTACTTAATTTCGTACTAGACTCCAAATGCTGCTTTTTGATTAATACAATCCAAATGAATGATATATATTTTTTGCTCGTTCTCTTCGTGGCAGAGCAACATCAACGTGGCCGTAATGAACATCGGAGCTCCGTGCGCCGGCATGAACGCCGCGGTCCGAGCAGCGGTGAGGATGGGCATCATTGAGGGCCACTCCATGTTTGCTGTCTATGAAGGTTTTGATGGGCTGGCTCAAGGACAGGTAAGGACAGGTTCATTGTTAATATCTGTGCTTCAGACCCATATATATAAAACAAAAAAGACAAGAAAAAAAAAATCCATCAATTTGGTTTATAAAGCACTTTTTTTTTTACAGTGAAGGGCAAGAAATCTTTTCATTTTACACACTTTTCTTCTAACTGGAAATAATATTAAGCAGCCCGGCCAGAATCCTGACTTGTATTTAATAAAACTGTGTGGAAGAAGCTAAAGATTAGGGTGATGGCAAGAAGGTCTTTCAACCGTAAGGACTTGGAAACATGCAAAAAAAATTCATCCTCCTTTTAGCTTTATTATCATTTGAGAGTTTCATTTCCTGTTTCCCTGCTAGAGATATCAATAATCTTAAGTTTCGTTATATCACACAGCTTGCTGAGAATATTAATGCAAGTAGACATAAAATATCCATTCATCTATTGTCTTATTCCCACTTATGCATACATGAGGGTGTTGGGATATCCAGCGGTCATTGGGCGAGAGGCAGAGAGGTTGTCTACCTGTTGCAAGGCGACACAGAGACTCGCAGTTTAGATTAGCCAATTAATGGTCATCCGTTTCATTTGCAGGGCTGTTCTGACATCTTCTGGAGTGATGAAAATCATTTCTAGCACCTGCTTAACAGCAAAACATTATGCGTCTGGAGAGTAAAATAGGTTTGGCCTTGGAAAAACAGATTTTTAAAGACAAAACAACAGTGGCCATGTTGTGGGCGTAACCAAACTTATAACTTACAACGACTAAAAACATTGCATTCATGCTTCATTCTTCTTAGGACAGAGGTCCAGGGTCGCACTCGTAACACAGTTTTCTTCAATTTGATCCGTCCTTTAGCGTCTCTTTCTGTAAGCATTTTGGGGGTTAAATGTTGTTTAATATTTTGTGTTCTGTGTGATGCTGCTTTGGAAATTAGTGTTTAAACAGCGGTCATCTTGTCTGACTGCAGATTGAGCCCATAAGCTGGAATACGGTGTCCGGCTGGACTGGAAAAGGAGGCTCCATGTTGGGAACCAAGAGGTGAAGGGGTGTTACTGTAATCCTGCCGTGACATTTTATTTACCGTAAGCTTCTATTTATACAGCTAAATATGTGTTTATCTCCCTGAAGAACTCTGCCAGGAAAGTTGTTGGAGAAAATCACCTTGAACATTGCCAAGTTCAACATCCATGCTTTGGTTATTATTGGGGGATTTGAGGTAAAGTCGGAGCCAGGCTTCATAAATGTTGGTTTATCTGTGTCTGTATATTTTTCACAAGCGATGAATAAATTGACACTTTTACAGTAATGGTAAAAAGATCTTTCTCTGCTGCAGGCCTACGTTGGCGGTCTGGAGCTGCTTCAGGCCAGAGAACAATACGAAGAGCTGTGCATACCCTTTGTGGTGATCCCCGCCACCGTCTCCAACAACGTCCCGGGCTCCGACTTCAGCATCGGCGCCGACACCGCCCTGAACACCATCACCACCGTCAGCAGTGAAATGACAAAAATAACTACATATTGGAGGGAAAATCAAACGGCTTGAAACGTTCACGGTTTGCTTTCTGTGCAGACCTGCGACAGAATCAAGCAGTCTGCAGCTGGGACGAAGCGGCGCGTCTTCATTGTGGAGACCATGGGCGGATACTGTGGGTACCTGGCCACCATGGCAGGGCTGGCTGCCGGGGCTGACGCCGCCTACATATACGAGGATAAATTCAGCATCAAGGACCTGACGGTAAGTTGAAATCCATAAAGAAACACGCTTGCAGCATGAAATTGTATATCAGCTCATGCACATTGATTTTTTTTTTTTTAATAATATAATTAGGCTAAGAGAACATGTTTTGACCCTGTGATGTTTAAAATTGTGCCACAGGCAAACGTAGCGCATCTTGTGCAAAAAATGAAGACGACTGTGAAGAGAGGTTTGATTCTCAGGTATGTTTGTTTCAGCTGCAGGACAGAAGAGAGTCAAGAGACAAAAACTTGTCCAAAACTAGAATTCAGGAGCACTTTTTAGTTTAGTTGTCAATGAATTTGTAAAATTATTGCCAAAGCCTTCCCTTCACATATTATCCGATTAATCTAAATCTCCTTTCTCCTCCATTTCTGTTTTGTCCTGAGTTGTGATCCCTTCAAATGTCTGTCTTTTCTCTCCCATCAGGAATGAAAACTGCAATGCTAACTACACCACAGAGTTCCTCTTTAACCTCTACTCTGAAGAAGGCAAAGGAATCTTTGACTGCCGTTTGAATGTTCTCGGACACATGCAGCAGGTCAGAAAAAAAAAAAAAAAAAAAAAAAAAAAATTTTTTTTTCTTTTTAAGTGATTAAACGTCAATTGTCCTCTTTCAACTGCAGGGTGGCACTCCGACTCCCTTTGACAGAAACTTTGGAACAAAGATGGGAGCCAAATCTATTCTCTGGCTGACTGACAAGCTCAAGGAGTGCTGCAGGCACGGTACGGCTATCTAAAACTATGCCCTACAGCACTGTGGACGCACACAAAAGTTAGCCAGCACTCAATTATTACTTTTTGTCATATTTTTTTGACGCAAGGAAACACAGAAAATGACTATGGTGGTTTAACCCAGTTGTTGTTTTAGTTGAGAAGTTTAAAGCCAAAAAAAAAAAAAAAAAGAAGACTTGCATTAGAGTGTTTGTGATTTGCATAGCAGAAATCTGGCAGGAAATATTTGCTAAAAGCGACTTCACCTCCATGCCGGATTGATCCAGTAATTCAAGCTTAAGAAGTCAAGACAACAACTGAGAATAAACACTACCCAGAACATGGAGACACCTTTCAGTACGGTCATATTTTCGTATTAAGATCCTTTTTTTTCTTATTATTGGTCTTCTGGGATGTTATTGGTTCCTGGAAAACCTTCAATAGCTGGAAGACTTAACCATCAGAATGAATAGAAATAAACACTTGAAATAAATTACTCTTTCTGTAGTGAGACCATCAAATAATTTTTGATAAATATTCTAATTTATTGAGGTACACTTATCAGGTTTGTAAGCAAGTCTGAGGAGTTTGGTGATGGATTCACTATTTGACTTTGTGGGCTCCGTAGGTCGTATCTTTGCCAACACGTCAAACTCCGCCTGCGTCCTGGGAATGAGGAAGAGAGGACTCACCTTCCAGGCTATTGCTGACCTGAAAGACGACACAGATTTTGAGTAAGCCGGCACAGCTGCTAACTAAACCGACATACTGTGCTGGGCAGAGCGTCAGTCAGAATGGTGACCGATCCCTCTCCTCTCGCTTCACTGCAGGCATCGGATCCCGAAGACACAATGGTGGCTTAAAATCAGGCCCATCATGAAGATCCTGGCCAAGTATGACATCAAGCTGGACACTTCTGAGCATGTCGACATGGAGCATGTCCTCAGCAAGAAGGGAAACCACTGGAAGTAGAAGGAGCATTTTTGCTTTGAAGCTGATTATTAATTTGGGGTGTTTTCCCCTGTTCGGTTAGCTGTTTTTAGTTCAACCTTTGTGTTTTGTGTCTTAATAAAAGAGCTGTTGACTTTACAGATGTGAATATGTGGTCTTTTTTTTTTATTAAATTCTGTGCTTCACACTGGTTTACCACTATTAAAGTGACCAAATGAGTGTATAGGTCTGTATTTGCTATTAGCCCCCATATACTTGCAGAAGTTAAACTCATTAGTCACAGTTTAAATTTTGCAAAGAAAGACATGCTATGTTACAGTCGAGGCCCGAAGCATTTCACTGAACTATGACTCCCCTACTTTCAAGTCAGGAGACAGATTACCAGAGTAAGGGGAATTTCTCTTAACATTGCAAGTCTTTCACTCATGACTCAGCATTTTCTAGTGAATTTCTCTTTTTCTGTGAGGTGACAACAACTCAAATCTTTGTTTTTCACACCGATCCAGTTAGATAAGTACATTTGCTGACAGAAACCCTTCTGACCTATGCTTGTTGTGTTTAAGACTCGTCATTGGTTACCTTCTCTGATTAAGTTTCAATAGCAGAAAAAAAAGAGCTGATTACATCACAAGCCTCTTTTTTCTCTTGTTCAGAAATCCTGCTGGGAACCACTCAGAATCATTTTATTTTTGCAATTTTAATGTGGTTAAAATATTTGGATTGATAAGTGCCAAAATATTTTAGTTTAACTATTTATTATTGGACTGTTTTGTGTTATTTTTACTATAAGTTGTTATCCAGTAAACACATTTTTAGTAAGCTTTCCAGAATTGGATTTCTCAAGACAAACATGCTATTTATTTTTATTGTATAATTTTGTTGTCAAATGAAATATATAAAGAAAATTAATTGAAAAAATATTTTATTTCTTTTACCAAAATATTTGCTTTTACATTTATTATAAAACCATTCCTACTTTTAGTCTAGTTATGCTAAAAATTACATTATAATTATTACTATGACATAATTATTATTGTAAACCTGAGGTGTTGTATGTGTTCGTTTACAACTTACACTGCAGTTAGAAAACATTCACACCCCTTTTCTACATTATGTTAGGTTTAAGATTTATTCTGAAACCGAAAAAAGTGGATTGAAAGTGTTCTATTTTTTAAAAAAATAATTAAAGGCATACATATAATTTACGAGGTTGAAATTAAACTCTTATGCTTTTAGGCTTTACTGGAAAGTAGAGGCGTTCAGAGCTTGGCTTTATATTCAAAAAATAAAACTACAGTAAAAAACTACAGGAAGCGGAAAAGGAAGCAACTTCTACAAAGGTCAATGAGAACTCGCGGTGGCCGTTGGGACGTCGGCGGACTGTGTGCCTTCGCCGAGTAAAGGTGCATGTCCCCAGTGTCCGCTCTGCTCGCCCGATAAGGAATGCGCCTTGCGAAGTCGCTGTGTGGTTTAGCATTTGATAAAACTTCAGCCGATACCGTGGTATAACAGGAGTCATGGTTTGGTGTCGCTTCTACGTTTCTTATCCAAGCGTGCGAGCCTAATTCATTGAGCTAGCTGTCGTTAGCCCGCTTCGTTGATTCATAGCGCGCTAGCTTGCTAGCTGGAGTGTGCTGCTGGCCCATCCAGTTGACCGGGAGACGAGCTCGACTGACTGAAAAACACAGCCGCTGTTTGGAAACGAGGTGGTGGCGGCAGGCGGGGGGCCGGGAGAACGCGACGGGGTGGTAGCGAGTCAGGAGCGGCTGATGAGTTCAGACCAGAGCGGAGAGCCACCGCTGCTGCAGGAGGAGGCTGATCCCGGACCGAAGAGCGGTGGGAAGGACGAGGCTCCGCTGGGGAGCGAGGGAGGGTCAGGCGGCATGGTGAGTGAGGCCTTCGTTAGCTTCTCAGCTAGCTATTTGAGCTACTTCTGCTCACTCGACGTGGTACCAAAAAAAAAGCATACAGTCATGGGAAGTACATTTGATTTAGCGAAAGTCGGATCAGTTTTTGTCAGTTGTGATTAATAAAACAAATGTCCCATTCTGTCTTTTCCTCATATGTACACCGTAGGGTTTTTTTATGCCACACTTGTTAAATCTATAACCCTTGTTCTCAGCAAAAAGTGCACGTCAATAAATTACTGAAAAACCAAAGATAATTTCAAAACACTTTAATAAGAGTAGGGAATTTGCCATTTTTGACGTGCTTTCTTAAAACTCATTTATGGAAAGAAAATCGTGCTTTTTTGGGGGGGGGGTGGATGTTTTTCCGGCATATTACGGGAGACCTGTTCGTGCATGAGTCACATTTATCAGCTAAAATTAACCCAACAAAGTATCGTTAAGCCGCTAACTTTAATTTGAGTCGTTTCAACTCCTTGTTTGCTCTTTAACCCTCTCTTACAGGACATTTTACAAGCCGATATTGTAACAACAGTCTGAGACGTTGCGGCTTAAATGTCTGTTTGCAGCCACTTAATGCAAATGTGCGCACTGATAGTTAGCAAGGGGCTCCATTGCTGCTAACGAAGCCGCTTCGTCCAGCTCTCTTATTAAGTAGTTTGCTGAGTAATCATTAGCTTGCTAAGTTTCTACCCGACCACATAATGACAGCAAACGCAATTTAAAGGTCCAGAATGCATATTGAATTAATTTGTGAACAGTGCTGCGACTGTTGACCGAGTCAGACGTTCATTTGCTGTGATGTTATTTCAGCTAATCGCAGTGCTAGTTAGCCTAGCTAGTGCGGTGACATGCGTTGTGAATACCTGGCCTTCGCCGTGCTGCGCAGTCAGCTGACACTTATTGGTTGTCCACGGCCTGTAACACAGAAGCATGCATTGTGACCATGTGTCAAGTTGCACGGCCCATAAATGCCCTTCCCTGTTTGAGTGACAAAAGAGGGCCGATCGTTTGGGCTTGTTCGTTTTTGACTGCTGCATACACAGGATAATCTAGAGGCAAAACAGGAGGCAGATTGATGTGGCAGTTGCAGGGGTTAAAGGTTAACATACCTGTTGGAAGTTGGGGACACAAACTGATGCATCAGCAGGTCTCACTAATTCCCACTATGTCAACATAGATTACACCTAATTGTGCTAATAAGCGATGAATAAATATTTAGCTGTCCTGGAGCAGACATCAGCAAACATTGATTGTTTGAGATGGAAGAAAAAATATCACTAAATGTACCCAAGTGAAAATAAACCGACTTTAATGTACTTAGAATGTACTAGTAAATGATTTTTTTGATAAAATCTGTTACCTTGTGCTGGACATTTATTATAGAAGAATTTTGATTCATTGTGATGAATATAAATTCCACTTAATGACAGTATAGTTGTAACATGAGAGGATAAAAAAAATAAATTTAACATTTATAAAAAGTTACTGTTTGCAGTGTATTGCAAAATATCACACTTCTTTATATACCCAGTGTCATCACAAAGCCAATTTCATAACTAGTGCATTTTTTAAAAAATTGTCGGCTGATTACTATCATGCAGTCACAGACATACAGAGTTCACTTAAGTCTGCAAAGAAGTTTTGTCACTTTAATGCAGTGCCACAAAAGCTTAGAACATTCTTGCAGTCTACTGAAGCATACAACATTTAAAATGCAAAATTTAATATACTTGGAACTACAGGTGCACTGATAAATTGGTCAGCTGATAAATCGACCACGATTTCCTTAATTTTGAGAGATGGGCAAGCGGCCGAGACTCGTATGAGATGCTAATCATATCCACCTCCGCTACCACTGTCCTCTCTTGCTCTTCTGTAAAAGAGACCCGACTGACTGACCTGTTCACCAGGTCACATCTGTATGATTAAAAATAATCACCAAATCAGCAAAGCTTTTGCTATTTTTAGCAAATTTTCAGACAAAAAAAAAAAAATTGGATGGGTTCGATGGGCTCTCACCCACTCTGAACATCTGAGATCACAGGGGTTTTGTTACAGCTGCACAATGTTGGACTGGCACGTAAAATCCACACTTTCTTCACTTTAGTATTCTGCAGACACACTGACTTTTATTGTCTTGGGTACGGTCATCTGTGTCAGGTGTGTGTATCTATTGAAGTGAAACTCAATCAAATATACTGAACTTTGAATGGTTTCCATATATTAGCCATTAGTTACTGCATTGCAAACAGTGCATTGCAGTGTTAATATTGCATAAACTAATACTGCAATAACACAATATGCAGCCCTGGTGCATTCTCACCCCATTCTGTGCTTGTTGAAGAATTTAAAATATCAAGCAAAATGCATTAATATGCATCAAACTTCTTACTCTGATTCTTGAGTACTGAAATATTCTTTTGAAAAATGATACTGATCTATAATACTAATCATATAAATTATACATGTTGTAACATTTCAAATTAGTTTGTGGTTCTGCATCTTGATGAGCATAATATAACAGAATACCTTTTTGTCAGTGTATTTGGAATCATAACACCTACTCCTTGTTTTGCAAGTGTGCCTCTTTAAGGAAAAAAAAAGTTTTAAAGCATTAAGAAGTCAAACTCCTTTGACTATTCTCTGCAGAGAAACAGTCAGGTCGATCCCCCCCTGTTGGTTTGACTGGCTAAAAATGGTATACTTTAATATTTTCCCCTCCAACGCACAGATCATTCATAGAAGAATTGAAGATGGCGAGTTCATATTTCCCCCTAATATTGAAAGCGGTAGGAATTTTAACTGCACTGCCAGGTTGCTATGTCATTGTTTGCAACTTCAAAATTTTTAAATTCACTAAGTAAAACTGAAAGGTCAATATGCAGCTGGATTTGCAAATTTTGTGTTTACCATTTATAATTATATTGAAAACCAGCTCTGAATTGACTTTTAAAAAAAATGCAACAGCAGTGAATTAAAATATATCTATTAACATATCTATAGAGCTTTGGAGCTGACGCCACAGCGTATGACGTTCATGTTGCTCGGTGCCATGTTTGCAGCCCACAGACCAAAACAAACTAGTCAGAACACCGGTGTTTTCATTGTATTACCGAGCGCAGCGAAGTTGTTTTGGATACTGGATATTCGCCCTCCGCGGAGTAAGGGACGTTTAGCTCAAGGTTGATCCGATTTATGAACGCTAATTTCGGCCAGCTGTTCTCTACCGATGCCTCCTGAAGCGCTCGGAGATTCACATAGGGACAGTCAATTTCCGAACACTCCTGTAAATAAATGCTTTGTCTTGCGACCAACTAATACAAAAACGTGGTAATTCATGCTATTAAACGAGGCACACTATCCTGTATAAAATGTTTGTCATATTCAATATTTTAAATAATATTAAATGTTTTCTTCAATAGCTTCCAAATCGTGTGCCCCATTAACTCAAAATCTGTGAAATTATTCTACTAGACTGTATAAATGAGGCACACTCATCTTTATTACATTTGAACACTTTATATATATTTTTTTTAGCTATTTATTTAGTTTTTTTCTTCAATAGCTTCTAGGTCATGTGACCTATTAACTCAAAGTCTGTGAAATTATTCTACTAAACTACATAGATGAGGCATATTTTTATTCCATTTTGACCCCTTTTATTTTTTAACCAAATTTATATTTAAAAAATATTTTTTTAAAAGTTCATAAAATATATTACCTCAGATGAAAAGAACATTTGTAACCTGTAATGTTCAATTACATAAAATTCTAGGACTGGATCTATTTCATTACATGCTTACTTACCTGAAATATGTTAAATACAACAAATATTTATTAAAGTGTGATCTATTTCCTAAAATTTGTCACCTTTATTGTTTAATTACACATTAAATGTTTAAGGATGGGCTTTTTCATCTGATTTGTGTCATGATGTGGTGTGGCGGTGGACACAAACACAGCAGGCAGTGGACACACTTTATGTGGATGTTATTTTTAATGAACTAAACAAACTAAATCCAAAATCCAGGGAAAACAAGGAAATCCAAAACACAATGAAACAGGAGACAAGGGATAACAAAGGCAACGTGAAGATCTAAACCAGTTTCTCAACCCTGGTCCTCACCGCCCCCCTGTCCTGCATGTTCCCTTCTGCCACACACCTGAATTGTATTTCTGGGTGATTAACAGACTTCTGCAGTACTTGATGGTCATGCAATCATTTGAATCAGCTGTTCTGGAATAGAGGCACATCTAAAACATGCAGAGCAGGGGGGCTGTGAGGACCAGGGTTGAGAAACACTGATCTAAATAAAGAAAAAAACCTAACTAGTATTACTAAAGGAAGATGTATATCTAAATATATATCTTCCTTTAATAATATCAAATATAAAATTTTTACTTTAATGTGATTAATTTCTTCACCTGTTTACATGCAACTTGAGGTGCTTGAATCAAATGTTTCATGAATGTTTACCACATGAAATTATTGAATGAGAGAAAACAGCCACTTCCTGTACAAATATTTCTGCAGCCTTGCTGAGCTCCTCTCTTGGCGTTTCCTCGTCAGTCTCTCCAACTTGCTCCTCATCTACAGCCTCTGCAACTGTGTTTTCATTATTTACCTCTTTTGGGGTAAATAATGAAAACGGTCTCTAACTTGTTGATCCACCATGGTCTTGCTGTATCGCCTCTTTAATTGACGCCCATGTCGGTCCGATGTTGTGGCGTTTACCTCGCAGTGACCCATATTCAGCGCTGGAACTCAGTCAGGATTGAGCTAATCCATTTCATACGTCGGTTTGCCTTCAAGAGGAAGTATCAGAACACACATCAGTATTAATTCTGTAAATTTGATAACACTAGTAAAATAGTTTACTTCACAAAAATGTAATAACCTCGATGTCCACTGACAAAACTCGGACTATGCTACATAAACAATATTAGCCCGACCTAAACAAGGTTGACCCACTTAAATGAATTCAACATAAACGGAACATGAGTACACCCGGACAAAATCATAGCAAAATAAATTATGACACAACACTAACAAAGTGAATTTAGACGCTCGCCAGAATGGAAATTCTGGAGCAAACTTGTAGGTATCTGGGGATTTTGGAGAACGTAATATCAGGACGTCTCACCACTGACACCAGGACATTCGTCTTCTTTTAGTTAGCTCCGATAGCTTAGCCTCCTCGCATTTTTTCTAAGCAGGAAAATAGTGAAACGAAAGTCCGTTTTACATCTTTTTACCTTTTTGGTCATGTGATCGGACATTACACCCAATAACGCAGCAAGTTTGTGCCATAGCTAAAATATCTGAGAGACAGTCGTTTTTCTCGGTGGTAACAAAGATGACGCTGATACCCCTCCGACTAGAACAGTGATGTCACGTAGCTCTATAGATGGGTTCATAGAATCTATAAAACCTAAACCAAGAGGACCTGCTCACCATTAGATGCAACATTAAAAAACACTTCTAAGTTTCCGTTCTATGGGGGGTTTTTTTGTGTTTTTTTTATCAGCATGTTGGGCTTTGTGGTGAAACAGTGATGACGAAACAGATTGGTGTGACTGCTAAAATGACTTAGCCGTTATCTCAGTAGCGGAGTATTTCCAGGGAAGATTTTGCCTTTTTTTTTTTTCTTTTTTTTTTAGTTATGGTTACTCTTCTGCTTTCCTGTCACACACTACCAGCTGCCTCAGTGTTTAATATGATTTTTTTTGCACGCAGTAATTTAAAAATTTGACTCTGATGTATTGCAGGAAGGACAAAAGTAAATCGCTTGGAATTGCTGAGAAACACGAAGCTGTGTTAGAACTATTTGTTGCCACCTCTGGATTTTTTTTAGATATATTTTTGAGGATTGGTATTTGTGTTTTAAATTTGATAGAAAATTTATACAAGAGTATAATTTCTGGCAACAATACAAATTATGAGATGACAAACATGTGGACCAGCAAAACACTTGTCCTTTAAAACACTCTGATTATGTCTGAAACTGATTGCTTTAAATGCTGCATAGATTGCACGTTCGTAAAACAATCCCTGCAAGTGTTTCGAAATCCTCAAACTAGCCAGAATCCAAGCTCCCTTCATTCGTGTTTTGAGTGGAATCTCACCTGATCCTGTGGTTTCTGTTTTGAAGGTCACCTCAAAGGGTGCTGGTTTGAACCCAAATGCCAAGGTGTGGCAGGAGATCCCTGTGGCCCCCAGCGAGGCTGTCCCCAGTCCTCACTGGCCTCCCTCAGACATCAGTAAGTGCTCAACACGTTAATAGAATCTGCATGAAATATTCACAAACGTCTGATTCTTGAATCAAATGCGTTTTTTTGTTTTGTTTTTTTGTTGTCTTTTAATGTGACCAGGTTATTCAGAGCCTTCGTCAGCTGGTTGTAAGCCGTACTCTGTGGGATTTACAGCCCTGGGTGACAGCAGCTCCACAGCAACAGCTGAGATAGCAGTAAATGGAATGGACCCTCAAGAGCTGGGCTTTTCCCCCGCCGAGTCCACAACAGGGAGCTCCGGTCAGTCATCTCACCTGCAGCCTCCCCCACTCGCTAACGGTGGCTAAGGAGAATCCCGTCTCCAGTAACTTGAAACAAATAGGTTTTTTGGGGAAAATAAAAAATAAGTCATTTGGTTTTATTTTATAAACGGCATCCATGGGCTTTGGATTTTGACACGGTCAAATAGTCGTTTGTGTTGTATAATTGCCCTCTGCCAGACATGACCCTTGCATCTCTTCTTTGTGGTGCTAATGTGTCTGGTGTCCTGTCCTATCTGGTGATTATTTTTATGCCGACGGAGACCCGCGCTGAGTCAGCCGGAGTGCAGTGCAGCATTCAAAGCTCAGTTCAGAGGGATTTTGGCCGCTGCTTGGTGTGATAGAAACCCTGTGCAATTCGGGCCTCTAGCTGATCATTGAGAGTAGAGTGGGAACTGTTTATTGTGCCAAGTTTGCATTGATTATACATAACAGCTTGTTGGATATATATGTTTTTAAAGACATATCTGAAAGTGTCCTTTTATGTTTGCTTGTGAAGTGGTTCGCACTGCATTGCAGATCAGTTTTGAGGCGCCATCTTGTGAGATCGCCGTTCCTGTTAGCTGTTCTTGCTGGTGACACTTTTTGTTGTATTTGGCTGAAAAGTTGTTCAGATTTGCTGGAGAGGGAGAAGGACGAAGGCTTGAACGAGAGGAAGTATGGACCTCTGAAATGTAAATGTAGGGACACAAAACAACCGAACGAATCTATTCACCAGGCTGGATGACAGACAGTGATGTGGTGCCTCAGTTCACAGTCTAGCATAGAAGAAATTGCTTTGGAAGAATTTGATACACATGAATGTGTGGATATATTTGGTTGGCTTGCTGCAATATTTGCTAATAACAGCAGAATTAGACCTTCATCAGAACATATGAATGTAATTAGTTTGTGTTTTGTTTATTTAATGCTTTTATATATTTCTTTGTCTGAGCTGGATGGTCTTAGTTATTTGTGCAAAAGTTTATTTGATCCTTTTTCTTGCAATTGAATATTTAGATTCCAAAACTGAAGAACAAGTGTCCTCTGAGAATCTACGAGAGTCTCTGAAGAAAGAGCTAGAGTTTTATTTCTCAAGGTAAGAGCCAAAGACTTTTATATTTATGATTTTGTTGTATCTGGCTCGCAGTATAGCGAGCTTGAATAAGAGTTTCTGACTTTTAGAAACTCAGAAAATTTATTTATTTTAAATAAACACAATCAAAGTCTTGTATTTTTAAAAAAAGATAAAATTATTCCCATTGTTGCTAAAATAGTGAAACATGAAGCTGTTTGTATTTTTCTGATTTGACTAAAGTGAAAACATAAAATAAACACTTGCCAGTTTTTAATTTTATTGTACTTTTTGTGCACATTGTTATTCATTTCTGCTGTAGTTCCCTTCATCGAGGAACACAAGTGTAGCAAACGTATTTATTACCCTGTTTGGATAGTTTGCAGTCTGCTACTTGAAATGCGTCACCCAATAACTAGTTTCAACACCGTTTCCTTAAATACAACAGGTGACGCTCATTTTGTTTCTTGAAAGTAAAGTAAAATGTCTGGAGCAACAAGTGGGGATATTTTAGTTTGTGACAAAAGATGCAACTAATTTGCATGTATTTATCCTTTTGTTGCACAGAGAAAACCTCTCCAAGGACTTATACCTCATGTCTCAGATGGACAGCGACCAGTTTGTCCCTATCTGGACTATAGCCAGCATGGAGGGCATAAAGGTTCTCACCACAGACATGGAGCTCATCCTGGACGTGTTGAGATGTAAGTGGAAGGATGAGCATGTTACTTTGTAAAACTATTAGTAATATGACTTGATTGTCTGTATTTTATATTTGAAATTACCCTTCCAGCTTCTCCAATGGTACAAGTGGATGAGAAAGGCGAAAAGGTGCGACCAAATCACAAACGATGCATCATCATCCTGAGAGAGGTCCCTGAAACCACACCTGTAGAGGTACTGCCTCGTTGTGCTCATGTTTAGGAATTATTGAGATATTTTTGGAAACTGAGAACTGACTCGTCGTCTCAATCCCACAGGAAGTCGAGTCATTGTTTAAAAACGAAAATTGTCCAAAGGTGATAAGTGTCGAGTTTGCACACAACAACAACTGGTATATCACATTCCAATCGGACACAGATGCTCAGCAGGTACGTCTGATTAAACTTCACTTTGCTCTAATTCAAAATGCAACACCTTAAACGACCTGATTTGACTCCTGAATTGCTCTTCCAGGCATACAAGTACTTAAGGGAAGAAGTCAAGACATTTCAGGGAAAACCCATCATGGTACGTTGAGCTGAAACGTGTTAGTTTGTAAGTCCCCTCCTTTAAGAAACCTTGAGTCATTTCTTGTTTCTTTTCATCTAATAGGCACGGATCAAGGCCATCAACACATTTTTCGCAAAGAATGGTTACCGTAGCATGGACAGCAGCTTGTATGCTCAGCAGTCCCAGAACCAGTCCCAGTACAGCTCTCCACTTTACATGCAGCATGTCTACCCCCAGCAGCAGTACCCGGTCTATGGCATTGTGCCGCCCACCTGGACTCCTTCACCCACACCCTATTTTGAAACTCCTCTGGTAAGAACCAACTCTAAATAAACTACATGAAGCTGGAATGGGTCCCAGGCCATGTATATTTTTAATAAACTGTATTAAAAATGATGCATTTATTTGTTGTTGCTAATGATTCACCAGTGATCATTATTTTGGCTTTTCATATATAGATGAATCGGGTGGATACGATGGATTAATGTCAAGGTCTCCCCCAGTGCATTATAAGCCTGGCGGACCACCAGGCTGAGCATTGCTTATTTATTTATTTTAGGTTGTTTTGTTTTTTTTATGTTTAAGACTTCATGGTTGGTGTTTAGGTATTGTTAATGTCTTCCAATAACACATAATTACCAAGTAATATTTTCAAATTTCCTGTCAACTTTAAACATTTTTTATCTCAAAATCATGGTGCGTCATTGGATGACTGCCTGAGCGCCCCTACCATCAGGGTTAGCAAGTTTTCTGGGGGAAACCTTGAATGTCTTTACACACTTCTGCGTAAAGCAGAAGTGTGTAAAATTTTAAAAAAGGCTCATTAACAGCTCTATTACTTCCAATTAGGAAAGCTTTTTCTTGTGTACACATGAGTCTCCTCATTCTGTATATTTAGTGCATTGTTAATGTTTGTGAACTGGGCAGTGAGACCAAACGACACAAATGTTTTGCATTCAAAAATGTAAGGAAAAACTACTGAAGTCTAAAATCTTGACCAAATGTAGTAACCCATTTTATCAATTCAATTTGAGAAAAATATACAGTTCTGCAGAATATTAGGAAGATGAAGAATTGTTGTCTCCACAATGAGTTTTAACATCTTGTTCACTAAAATCATTGAATCGCTATTGCTCTGTGAGCTTAAAGGTCTTCTAGATTTCCCCTGTATTACATTCTTGGACTGCTGCAGAGTAAATAATTGAACAAATTGCTACATTAGTCAACGCTGACATCTTTTCCTCCCTGTGCAGGCACCGTTTCCTAACAGCGGCTTTGTGAATGGATTCGGCTCTGCGGGACACTACAAAGCTGGCTCCACTGCTCTTAACCTAACTCGCCCATTCAACAGAAACCGGTAAGCAGGATCTTTTTATTTGCTGTGTTGCATTTTTAAAGTTGTGACTCGGACTACAGCCTGCTGATTTCATAAATGTACTCTTTAAGGAGTGTGGCATTCACCACTTGTTGTTGTTGTTTGCATGTTAGGTTAAACTGTGAATGTCAGATCATCTGCAATGCAGTGTTGTCTGAAGAAAATGTAACTAGGCCTGTCACGATAACAAATTTTGCTGAGCGATTGTCTAAAAAATTATTGCGATAAACGATAATATTGTTTCAAGACCTTAACAAATTTTGCTGAGCGATTGTCTAAAAAATTATTGCGATAAACGATAATATTGTTTCAAGACCTTTTGACATTAATTTAATGGAAATGACTAATAATGCATGTGATTTCCTGCCATAGATAGATGCACTTTATTTTCAAAAGAACACATAACACTGGAACTGATAGACTAAATAAACAAAACAACCAAAAACAAAAATAAAATGGATTCTCAGTCTCCATTAACAAAAAACGTACTTGAATAAAAACTAAACAACATAAAGCCAAAGTGGAAATAAATACTGCATTCAACCAAAAAAGTGCAGATTATAACGTCTGTATACTATATTGCCCTTCAGTAATCACTAGATTTAAATAGAGAAGACGGGCACATCCGACCACCTGATGCAGTAGTTCACATTACACGATTTTTTGCCCCCATTTTCCCCTTATGACAATCTTAGATCGTTGGCCGATCTAAGATTGTCGCTGGTGATTTCGTAACTGACCATCCTGCAGTGTGATTTAGATCGTCGTGGCCCTTCCTAGACTCATTAACGCTGAATGTGACAGGTAGCCAATCAGAAAGCGCGGATTCCCCTCCGTGCTTTCTGAGGGGAAATTACGGAGGGGAATCCCAAACAGCTGACACAGCGCAACCCGAAGTCCAGCGGACATCGGAGATGATATGTGGAAAAAACATTAATATTTATTTAACATTTCGTGCAAAGAATATAGAAATGACAAGGGGAGGAGTTGGAGCCAAATTGCTACCGCAGTTGATAAACCCTGTAAGTTTTCAGCCGTTCTTTGTTAACGTGACATAAATAGGTTATAATGATTTTCATTCAGTCAGGATTTTACGCTGACGCTACATGCATCACAGGTAGATTCTAGTAAAGCATTGATTAATGCCTGGTTTTAAAATTAGTCAACTGGACTTGTAGCCATTATTTTGTGCCCAGGTAGCTGGACACCCCACGACACGATCGAAACCGATCGAACCGTTATACCTAGGATTTCTGTCAGCTAATGTGTGTCTTAGGTTTTGAAAATGGACCGACAACTCGTGTTGTGTGCTCTGGACATTACACTAAGGAAATGAGGAAGGGAGGGTCAGTGGAGAGCACCGGAGCTGAGCCTTTTTTTTTATTCAGTGTCATCAAGAGAAAGAAAAAACGGCAGGAAGAGACGATTAAGCCGATAATTAAAATTAGGTTGATAGGTTTAATTTATCGTGCGATTAATTGATTTATCGTTTATCGCGACAGGCCTAAATGTAACCCCCACAGGGAACTGCTCTTCACTCCCCTCTTTCTTATTGTCCTCACAGTGTCCCTCTGTATTCGAGAAAGAATGTAATAAATGCCTTCAGGTACCAATATACAATACTGTATGATGAGCTTCATCGCTATCCTCATGTCTTGCCATACTGCTGCAGCCTACTGACTAAAACCACACCAGGACTGACAATTGGATATTTTTATTTTGGTTCTTATTAAAACTTTCATTGCTGTGATGATGCTTGGTGCCATTCATATTAATGAAATTGCTGGATTTTTCCTGTGATTTGATTGCTACAGTTTTTGCCATTTGAGGACTCTTGGCACCAAACACATCCTCCTTGCATTGATACACCAGCATACATCGTAGTAACTGTTAAACCTCATTACAACTAACCACTTATTTTACTTTTCATTGCTGCTTTCTTCATTGACCCAACGCGTCATGTGCTGAAGCAAAAGAGCCGACAGTAGAGAAGCTGATAAACGTGTTTGACCCGATGATGAGATCATGATGCGCATAGAGGGACAACATGGGAGGAAGCCAACTGGCTTTGGTCCTCTCTTTACTCCTCCTTTTCTCTCCCCCTCTTCTGTTTCTGTCTTTCCAAAGTCAGGAACTTCACTCCCATCCCGATGAGCGTTCAGATTATGAGATCTGAGGGTTGAATCTTTAAGAGATGAAAATTTGAATCATGTTTTATCAAAAAAGCTTTAATTTTAGCCGTTTTACTCGAGTGGTGTCAGCTCTACTTGGTGAGTTTATGATTGGTGGCAGTCTTCAGCCCTCCAGCCAATCATAGGCGCACATGTATTCCAGATGAACCATCTGCTTGTCTACATTGTGATTAAGGAGGCAGCATGCTGTGTGGTTTGGTCGGTGGATCCATAGTTTCCTGTCGCATCATTTGCATGTTGCCGTTTTCTGGATGTAATGTAAAGCTCACTTCTCCTGTATGGGGTGTTTCTCCACCAAAGTGGTCCCAGTGCTTGTTTAGTACATTTTATTATTTAGGATTAATTGATTTT